TAAATAACAGCAAGTCTGTTGGCAATTCAGTGAGACTTTTTTAGTTGATATATGAAGTTCTTTTGGTTTTGTGTCTCTCTTTTCTATAAGGCAGACTGCTATAGCATACAACCTCATCTGTAGATGTCTGAATATTTTTAAATGCAGGTTACAAGAAATAGATGGTTGTATTTAATACATGTTATAACCTACCTCACCAAAACCCAAAAGAAACACTCCTCCCAAAAAACCCCAACCATGAAGGATGTCATGAGTCAAATTTACTGGTTAGCTGGAGGTAGAACAGAGATTTTTCATCAGTTTGCATCCAATCTAAATGGTGCTTATAACATGCAAAACCTACTTAATTTATTTTTATGGAAGTTATTTAAAAGTTATTAAAAAGGATTTTATTAATGGAGAAACTTATTTGAGCAGTGTAATTTATTTTTTATTTGATTTTCTATTTCCTCCCTTAATATGAGAAAGAAAAGTTGCAGGTAGCTTACAAAAGTGTTTTTATTCTTCTTCATTTCTTCAGTTTAAAATTCTGGGATATAGCAGGTGTTTGATTGTGAAGCTTATGAATGGATCCATCATATATTGGATGTAACTTCATACATTATCCACCTATCGAGATTAACAGCCTTTTATTAGCAAAGTGCCTGTTTAATATGGTGAGAGATTAACTTCCATGTAAAAAATGTAATTGAACAACTTAAAGAAGGAAAAATCTCTTCCCCTGAAATCATTTCAGTATATAGTTGCAAAACCTAAAGGACTGTGTTTTCCAAAATGGCTGATGATTTTGCTCAGACCTATTTCTTCTTGTCTAGGGATATTTCATAATGACAGAGTTAAAAGTATTTCTCATTTTGCACAAGTGATGTCCATTCAGTGGGTATCAGGTATGTCAAGTAGAAATGGACACACATAAAATCAATACTATCTTTGGAAAATAAAACTAATTTTTTAGATTGTTGTCTCTTTGTAGTGTTTGTTATTGAGTACATTTGGTAGGCTTTTCTCACAGCAAGTCAGTTTTAACTTTCATTTCTTAAGTTCTGCATGGGGCTTAAAGTTAGTAGCAGCTGAAATGCTGAATCTATTGATCCTCACTAGTGAAAGAAAAGGAGATTCCAGAAACCAAAAAATACCTCACTATGATATATAAGCAGGTGTTTATTTTCTCAACACCTTTATATTTCACAAAAATACTTATCAGTTTGTTTTTCTTCTTTTAAAAAGAAATTAATCTCGTAAGTTTAACTCTGAATGCTGTATTGTAATCTACCTCTTAGTAGACAGAATGACTTACAATTCCTCTCACTATATCCTCTGAAAATTTGTCACATTAATGATCTCCTTGAACATTTAGCATTCACACTAGGTAACAGGTATCTTGAAAGAATATGACCATTTTTATGTTTCAGAATTTATTTTTTCTGCTTGGCTAAGTTTTTAAGCAGGACTCTGATACTGGTCACCTTACCTATGTCTGACTGAGTATTTCAGTTGCAAACTCTCCAGAGCAATGCTTATCTCCCAGTGCATTTTTAAACAAGACCTAGCATGGTAGATCCACTGGTTTCTCTAAGCACTTCCTGAATATAATTTAAAAGGATAAGAGAACAAAGGATACCATAAGCAGTTACTGCATTTTTGCAGGTATGCGTAGTAGGATCCAATAAATTTAAAAACTTCCTACACACTTATTTTTAATGCATTTGCCTGTATATGAGACGGATGGATCTTCTAAATTGAGAGAAGAAAAGAAAGATGAGAGAGGGATATACTGTAAGTTGTCTGGATTTACCTTGACTCCTATTATGCTCATAAGGCAATTGTTCTACATATATCCACGTCCTTGCAGGGTGGTTGTTTTCTGAGAAATTTCCTTACTAAAATTGCTCTAGCCATCAAGCCTTTTGGCAGCTCTTGAATGCTGAGTTCCTTTGCTCATCAAACAATATTTTCAATTTCTGCCAAGCATATTAGATGCACTTAGTGGTCTGTATTTTATGTCATCACTATCACTGTCTTTGCTTAAAAGCTACCTAACTGTAATTAGCAAAATAAGCTCTGTTCTAGCTTTTCAGGGTCCATTAACACTGTACAGGAAAGGAAAAAATCAGGCATGGAGCTGTTGATCACTTTCTATTCTTGGAAGATATTTGGGAAGGAGACCACAGAGTGAGAGTTGTCCCAGTAAAACTGCTCCTTGGCCTTTGTTAAGGGGAAAGAGATCCTGGGGCTACTTGGCTAGCAAGGCAATTGGTCTTCCATTAAAAGTAATATTTAAGATTATAATACCTCAGATATGAGGGAGAAACTTTGCACTCCAAGAACCTTTGACATTGAATAGAGTCTGAGCAAAAGAAGTCCTCTCATGGGGCCAGACTGCCAGTCAGGACTTGGACAGTCCAGTGGTAAAAGCAAGTGACCAGTTTCCCTGGATCTCTGCTCTGGTCTAAACTGGGCTGGTGTCTGAGTGGTAAGAATGAGAGGTGTGTGGATGTCACAGCATAGCTCCCTATTCCACGTACCCATCCTTCTTAGGAAACAAATTTTATCTCATTGTGTCATACTGAGTGATTCTCCCCAACTGCAAATAACAGAATGCATGCATAACAAAACAAAACTTTAATAAAGTAGCATTAGTAACAAAACATATTCAATGACCTAACAGATAAAAATTGTTTGAAAATTGAACTATAGTAGAAAAATAATTTTTTAGTATTATGGCTATGACCCCTTAGAAGTTTATTTTCTTATAGTTTCTTAATTCTGTTTATTTAATTTTTAGTGCTACATTTATTATTCTACCCCAGTAATCCATCTACCTTGCATACCAATATTAAAAAGGGCCTGGATAAGAATACTTGCTATGAACTAGTTCCCATGGATTGGAATAAAAGTATTCTTTCTTCACACATACCAGTTTGCTAATTATCATCACTTTGAGCAGGAGAATAGTAAACCTGAGATTTAAGCCTTCCTCAGAATAATATTGTTTAAAGAAGCTGTTGGTGTTTTTTTTCTTTAAAACGATTCCTTATTTGACTTCTTGTTGTAGCAGCTCCTCTTGGTGCTGTATGTCACATGTACCTAGGATAATTTGAACTAACTCAAACAGATTTACCATGGTTTTATACCACGAAGGACAAAATTCTGATAATTTCATCATGTTATAAACTATTATAAAATTTATGCAACCATATGGAGTTCATCACTTCAATGTAACTCCTTCTCTTTGGAACATAGGGTAATATTTTGGGTGATTTCCATCTCTTTAGAGGATCAGTGATGTTGAGCTCTCTAAGGGTCTTTGTGTAATATTTTGCAGTGACGTGAAAAATCCTAAGAATTTATCGGAGTTGTAAGGGGACAGCTCAGATCAAACTGCTGTACAGTGATTTGTTTTTCTTCCTGGACTTAGCTCTATAGTAATAAAGATTCAATAGCTTTTAGTTAGTTTGGAATAAATGTAGAGTTCATTTGCATCTGTTACAATGTACCATGTAGGCATTCCCTGTGTGCAACAGATATGGTGGTGACAGTCTTGATGTAAGCTTAATGTATTTCAGCACTAGAGTGGTTTGGAGTCATTCATGTATAGCAGTGGCACTGAAACTGGAATCATCTCTTATGTTTGACACTTCTCCTCTACAACAACTTTCTATTAAAAAAAAAATAATGTTATGAGTCTAGGTAGAGCTTGCAGTAATGCAGTTCTGTATTATGGTGTACCTTTTTGTATGTTTTCTTGGCAAGTTTACTCAATACTAAATTATACTTCCAAGTAATTTTTTAAAGAAATATCTCTATGCAATTGGTTCACTCTTTATTGAAGACCCCTTTTCCTACAACAAATCTTCCTATTTGACACACTGATAAACAGATCTAGTAATAGGATTATTGGTTTTCATTTCTGCTACTAGAAGTCATAATTTCTTTCACTGAAAAAAAAATTATATGGTGTAGTGTTTATATAGACAAGGTCAGAATCAAGTTCATAGTTACTGCAGTTAGCTTCTTTGACACTGGTTTCTTAATAGAGAGAGATGATTTTCACATTTTCCAGATGATCATGTCTCCCATGACCAGAGATACTAGTTAATGTTCAGAAACATTTTGGAACTTTTGACTAGAAATGTTTCAATCAGTTTTGTATCTAGGCACCCCAAAATGAGAAAGCTACCTGACAGTAAGAGCCAGTGACAGCACTGGAGATAAACGACAGAAACTGGAAAGGACAATTTTTTTACCTTAAGCCATCAAGATAGACATTTCCTTTATTTTTAAGTAATTCTGGGTGTATTCTAGATCTTTATCAAGTTTTTTTGGCTATACCTGACCACAAGTCAGACCTGTGGATGATGAGACTCCACAAAGGACTAAATATCTTTCAGTCATGTGTTCTCAAAAAAAGTAGAACTGCAGACAACTGTATTTCAGAGGTGCCATTGTTGGCAATAGCAGATGTAGATAGATCTCAAAGAATGTAAAGTCCTTCAAGTCATTAACTAAAGATATCAGTTTATTCAGAAGTGATGAAAAGCAGATATTTTTCTCCTCCAATACTTCCTTCATACTTGGAATTGTGGATAGACAGCAATTTTATTATTAATAGAATTCTAGATTTCACTCTAAGAAGTACACAGCCCAGTATACTGGCAAATGCCTCAAGATAGATGAACGAAGGCATAACTTTTCTATTCCCTTATCTAATATTTATGTTTAACAGTTGAAAAAGTGATAAAACTTGCATAGGCATATGTAGAAAGAAATTGGAACGTTTTAGTCCGAACAGTTTCCCATTTTCTTTTCACTGAACTACTTCACTTCTCTCACAACTTCTAACAATCACAGAAACCCCAGGGGGTCTGTGCTGTGCTTTGACTTAATGAGAAACTGGGACCACTGCTGTACAAAAAGCAAAGCAACTGTGAAGAAGAAGTGAAATTATCAAGGGTGTCAGATGCATCACCTTTAAAGAATCCTTTAAACACAAGGCTTACCTTGCCCACGTATTGAGTATCTGGACCTGTGTACTCCTCCAGCAAGAAAAATTGATTCCACATCCAACCACGCTTGGTGCGGTGCAGTGTTTTTCCATCATTCTCTGACAATCCTGTTATCCTTTCACTGTGTGAGTACTTGTTAGTCCTTTTTTGGGATGGCATCATGTGAATCACATGAAACATACAGCTCCAAAGCAAAACTATCAGGAAGGAGTAAGTCCTCATCGTTTACAGAGATGCTGTTAGCCTCCACTCTTCTAATAATTCACCAGAAAATTTTTTTTCAAATATTATATTCCTCTTGCAAGTAGAACCTAGAGGATGGAGAAAAGTATTTGGGTCAGTTGCAGTAACTTTTTTTCCCCTGAGGAAACAGGAACACAGTCTCGTGATCAGAACAATACCTCATGTGAGTGATGAATAATCATAAAAATTATTCAGAGAGTTTTAGGTCAAGTTCTTTAATGTCTTTTTGATCTTTTTCTAGTTCACTCTCTCACATGGTATACAGACATTGATTTAAGACACAATCTGAGTAAAATATCTGATCTGAAAACTTTAGCTACCAGCAGTGCCCTGACACAAAGAAACGGTCCAAATAATAAGAAACTTTCCAACCTAATCTCTCCCAGCTCAGTCTGATGCTATCTTCCCTTAATATCTGTTCAGAATTGTCTGAAATCTTAATTATCTGTTACTTCATGATTAAAAAACCCCATTCTTCCCCTTTATTAACCCCTAATTGTCCAGAGTATCTTCTTCTATTTCTGCAGAAAGGAACTCAAAAATTAAATTTATAAAATATTACTAAAACTTTTAACAGGCTCTTTTAACAAGAAAGAAAATTAATTTTTAGATAAGTGTGGATTAATAGGAATCCTTCTGGGGTTAAAAATCTCTGCATTTGGAACAGAATTCTCCATTTGGAATGTATTTATTTTCCCTGAATCCTGGATGAATTAATTGGAATTTACATGATATAGGACATTACTGTAACTGAAGTTTTTCTGAAAATGGCTCTGATGGTTTGTGTGGAAGTTTGTAAGCAATATTTAATCAAACCAAATTAAACTCATACTCTTTATCTGGCAGTACAACTCAGGTGTCTGATGTCCCAGTCTTTTCCATGAACTTTTTCATGTTAAGTCTGTTTTTGCATTAGGATATCTTTTGCTGATCTGTCATTGTATTTATATATATATATATATATATATATGCATATATATATTGTACAGAAATTTTAGGAAAATAATTCAGCATCAAAAGTGCATTTTCTTTGAGATTCCTGGTCCATGAACAGTGTTTGTAGCATGAGATCACAACACTTTAGACAAATTTTAGAATAATAAAATCCTTAAATTAAAAAAAACACATATAAACCTATCCTTCTTTCTTCTGCAACCCAGTATTATTAACAGCTACCTTCACTCTGCTGTTTGTTGTGTTATTTTTTGGTGGAAGAGAGTTTCTTTTTGTACAAAAAATTATTTTGAAAATAAGATGCTTTTTGTTAAAATTATTAGTCTGTTGAGAAACAAAACTGTTTAATGGAAAACATTCAGTGTATTGTACTCCAAAGGCCTTAATGATTTAATTAATAGAATTGTGTCCCTGTGTGAAGTTTTCTTAAAATGATTATAACCTGTACGGACTCAGGATCTTAACTAGCAATTTTGAAGGAGGACCAAAGTCTCAGCGTTTTAGTAACTTCAAACAGAGTTTTAGCTGAGAAAGAAGTGAAGGTTTGGAATATTTATCACTTTCTAAGATCATGTTCCAAAAAAAAAAGAAAACAATTCAGTAGGTGTCAAATTTATGCAGAAGATCATGTATGTGTTTTCTTTTGCTTTTTATTTTAATTGAAGAATCAAAGTACAAAGTAAATTAACTCCATTTGCATAAAATCATGAATTTACATAGATCTTGGCATACATTTGTGGATGTATTTTCTTTAGATTCTTGTTTTCTCCCTTGTAATGCTCAGTATGTTCCTGTTGCAGGCGGAGGGACAAAGTGCAACTCTCCTGTGGCTAATTTAATACCAGTAAATTTTGAAATTAACTGGAAAACATTTGAGTACATGATGATCTTGCCCTGTGATTGCAATTTACTGGACACAGATCAAAAGAAAAAAACCCTCAGCCAATCCTTTATCCACGTTTAAGTTTGATGATTTAAATTCCCTGTATAATATAGACTGAAGCACCTTTTATCACTGAATAAAACTATTTATCAATGTAGAGCATAAGAGATTATCATATGTACTTCAAATTCATCCCACTGCAACATCTGAGGCAGATTGCAGAGACTCTTCATGCTTTGTAAATTAGATCCTGCTTAGGGAGTTGCAAAATGAAAGTCGACGTGTTGGAAATATTGCATTCGAAAGGCGGACTATCAAGTTTGCCCAATGAAGGAAAATACTGGGCTTGGTCACACACAGTATGTATAAAGGCTGGGGCTGTGACTTTGGCTTTAGAGTGTGATTCTAATCTGAAGAGACACACCTTCAAAAAAACCGGCATGCTCTGTAACTCTTATAAAATCTCTTATATCTTCTGGAGACAGTCTTACTTGATGTGCCCTCAATAGTACTCTTTTATAGCTACATCACAACACTTTTTGTTGGATTGTAGTTCCAGGATTCATCTTCTCAACATTCTGTATGATAAGGTTCAAATATTCATATTGTTTGAATTTTGTATTTGATTACTTTTGCTTTTATATAAATTATGTTTTACTACTCAACTATTCTGATAAATGTTACATTTTTATACATTTAAGGTCCTGACCGACTTATTTCTTTAGTTTCTTAGAACATATCAGTTTTTCTGGATTAAATCATAACAAACCATAATAGACAAAAAGTTATGAAAATTACACATTTATTTGGCAAAATTTTAATAAATAATGAAACTATGAAACTACTAAAGGTCTTAAAGATATGCTTTACAAAACCACTAAGCCTTAAAAGACTTCTGTCAAAGACAAGTTATGTAAAATGTCAAACAGTTTAAATTTTTTCTTCAAAATGTCCTCATTTCAAAACTTAGACAAACCTAACACTCAGATAATGTAGTCTGTTGTGGTTTTAGTCTTTTTTGGAAACAGGGAGAGATACAGGTAACATCAATACGTTTTCATTTACCCATTTAGAGATGTGTGATTGCGTGTTCAGTTTCATGATCATTTCAAATGTAAATAAAATTTCAAACGCTTCACTTCTATTTTACAAAAGAACACTTTTTTATTTTCCTGAAATTGCCCTAATTCCTTTCTGTCCAAACACTATTTGCCATATGATATTTATACTCTTTTTTTGGTACTTAAAGAAATTCTTCATGGTGGTCATTGGCTTATACAATTTATGTCATAGTCAACTGTTCAAGTGGGCCAGGAGTTGCATTTGGTAGACTCAGAAGGTGAAGTTTAATACTGAAACAAAAGATTCTGGTGCAGTCTGGAAAAGTAAGACCAGCTTACTTACCAGGAACCCAATGCATTGTACACAGTTGCTCTGACCCCGCTGTAAGAAATTATCTCTGTGCAAATACCAATTTTTCACAGAGGTTTTTTTTCTCAGAGGAATCAAGGTTCCAATAGTTTGTCCCAGTCAGGGCAGAAGTTTAACCGAGATTGCTGAAAACGTGTGGTTTTCTGTGTAGCGCTGCCCTCTACTGATTTCCTTGATAATTAACAGGGGAAATTCACAAATACAGAAAGGAAAGAATCTTTAATGTCAAGAAGAATAAAACAAAACCAAGCAAACAAAGAAAAAATTTCCCCTAGTTTTGTTATTGTTGTTGTTGTTGTTTTACAATAATTGGAGCTACTAGGTGTAAAGAAAGAATTATTCGTCTGGATCTAATAGAGTCTGCTGAACATTATGATAAACATCTAAATTGATTTCTTCTAAGATGAGCAAAGGTCTTTAGTCTGAAAACAGGGAGAGTATTTTTTTTCTAAGCAGCCAATCAATATTCTATATGTACTCTCTCCTGCTTTGTTTCTCTTCCACCATTTAATCAGTATAATGTCAACTTATTATTCTTCTAAAAGAATGGAAAATGGTTTTCTTACTAGTTGTATTAGAAAATTCTCTTCAGGTTGAGGTATTCATGTGTTAAACATTTTAATGCCAAAAATTTTGGAGAACTTGCACTTCTTCCCTATTTTGCAAATTAGTGGATCTGAGTGGAGGTAATAAGTACTTTTTCTTTTGTATGGTTTGAGGGATATATGGTGGTAGTCTAGAAACATTGCAGTGTTTCCTTGCAGTAAGGAGTGATATCAGAATCCTGCAACAGTTCCAGGTAAATGAATTATCTCTGTATGAAAAACATTATCCTCCTGAGCACAGCAACAACTGGAAAAAATTTATCTTTTAAAGTCCTTTTGAATGCAAAATATTCTATTTAAATTCTTCAGGTGTAGTGTGAAATAAGCCTTGCTGGGATCAATAGCAGGGATTTGTTACTGATGATGCCAATTTAAATGTTTCTATAGCAACTGCCATAGCAATGTTCTTAATTAGTACTGCACAGTCACTCACATGCATGACATGAAGAAAAGCTAACCTTCGGCAACTTGATGATGTATCCTACATTAGTTTGTTTCATTTGTTAACAGTGAAGTAGAATTCTGTTCTAAAAGAAAAAAGACGTGGTGCTTCTGTATAGCTAAAAATAGTAGAGTTAACTGCAGAAGCAGCACTTCATATTGCGCTTTAATCTCTAAATAAGAAAGATGCCACTCATGTTTGCATGATCCAAAAGATGATCCAAAGAATCTGTAAAACTAAAATATGTATTTTAACAGGATATATCGAGTATAAATCTTGTGTATCCTGCATGAATGGAAGAAATCTCATTGGCTTTGTCTGCCTTTCTTTTGAAAACAAAATATCTGCATGTAGCTTTAATCTGCCTAGACTGAACACTAAGATGAAGCTGTAGCAACAAAAGCCTGTGCTATAAACAGCACACTGCCATTGATAATGCCAAGACATAGGTTAAGACTGGATCTATGCCACTGTAGGTTCACTTTTATCACTTCCTTCACTAAAGATAGCCCAGGTATACATACACATACTGCAGCACTCATATCCTCTCAGTGCAGTCATTCTACAAATATGAATATATCTTCTTCCTAAAGTTTTTTTCTTCCCTCTCTCCCATCCATGGATAGAGAACCCATGGGTTTGGGGCTGAGATTGAAAGGATTATAAGGAAACAACCAATGTGCATACAGACTGAACCTGAGGTAATCAAGAAAGATGTTTTCATTTATTTCTATGAGAGATGAATTAGTTTTT